TTCAAGGTTTTTCCTTTTAAATAATAAAAATGCATTCTAAAATCTCTGAAATGGCACATATAAAGGACAGGAACAGACAAGTTGATATACAATATTTTTTATTCAATGGCAATTCAGTCTTCTACAATCATTATATAATCAAAAACATTTAGTAAACGTTTTAGGGCGTGACAGGAGCAGCAAGAACAGCCAACGGGAATCTGTGGGAAGAAAACTGGTATAGGCTTTTCCAGTTCATTAAATGTTTCAACCTGTCAAAACGTAGCGCGACGCTAGCACACTAGATTAATAGCGCTTCTATTGCACGACAGCGATGTCGCCTCGTGTTTCAGCCCTGGTTGCGCATTGGTTTGGCGTCGGTCGCTTTGAGTGTATTTCCGTACAGTAGCTTCATTTGTAGAAGGCTAGCTTTCCAAGCAGACGTAAGCTCCCTGATAGCACACGTACATCCCAGAGACACCAATCAGAAACGTTGGGGCGGGCTTTACACGATGACGACAGCGCTGGGATTTTGAAGCTGATTTTGTAGCCTACATTACAAAGATGGATGCCGCCGTCGAACATCACTCGTTCGAATCAGCTATCGCGTCTGTTTTAAGCGATTTGAACGTTTCCTTTTAGTTAAAAACCGAGCAAAGAACAACACTCGGAGATGTTTCTCCGCCGCTCTGCATACGTCATCTCCTTCATCGCTCTGATTGGTTTTAGGTCTATCCGCGACGTCCGTTGGTGACGCCCCTCTGGAAATGATTTGTCTATGACGCTTTGCCAGACCATAACTCAGTTACAACTGAGAATGGTCTGGTTTTAACCAGGCTAAGGGAAAGCAAGAACTGATAAGAATGTAAATGTCCACCTTGAAATGCAATGTAAGTCGCTTTGGATAAAAGCGTCTGCCAAATGCATAAATGTAAATGAAAACAAAAAGGTAAAATGACTACAGAGGCTTTCCTATTTGTACAGTAATAATTTGATAGGAAATACTATGTAATAAACTTTCATTTCATTCAGGAAGTTTTCTCTCAGAACAAAATGACCGTTGACAAATGTGTCCAGCTTGAACCGGTTTTGCACTAACCCAGCGCTTGGTAGGTGTGTGAGAGGGGGCTCATCATTTGCATTGACAGTAAAAATTACCCAGCAGCTAAGTAACAGAAAAACTAGCCAGCACATGGGTAAAAAATATATAAAAATAAACCAATAAAATGACCCAACAGGCTGAACCCAGCATTTTTTTTAGTGTAGCACCAATTCTGCCTTTCCTTTCCTAAAAACTCGCATGAACTATACAGCGGTATACCCTTGTTGCATAACACCTCCATCCATGATGTGTGAGAATCATCGCTCCTCACACAAAGAGACACGATTCAAATGTTGTACCTACGTGTGAACCAGAGGCTAAGGTTAACACATTTGCAATATTCCACTTAGCATTCCTGTTCTTCTAGCAAGAAACAAAGACACGAGTGTTTCCTCAGGTAGCAGGAAGCAAAAAAACCCCAAACCAGGCACCCTTTTCTGAACTAACGTTTCAGAGAGTCTATGGATGTGCAATTACAGCACACTTTTAAAGAGGGGGGACTCTGTGTGGAAAGACACCTCCGAACACCAAAGCCAGGCCGGATCTCTGTACAAGTTTGCCTCGAGTGTGACTTAAACGACGGCAAATGGAAGAAAAAAGGAAGACAAAAAAAGGAGCAATATTAACCAAACTAGGGCAAGCTTTCCAAATCCCTTTTGACACCATAATGAGGGTGCCATAAAAAAGAAACAGGTTAATTAAATCCACTCAGTAAATTAATGTGGAGGCCTTCTCTGACTACGGATGGCACCAATTCATCAATTCATCTCCAGGGGAGCGAATTCAACCTGGAAACGAGGGACCTGTAGCTTCTACATCACCAAGCATTACCCAACTCTCATTCAATCTTTAGTTGATGAAAATCACCTATGCTAGTTGGTCTTACGTTAAAAAAATAGGTATCCTGTTTGAGCTGCATTTGGGACAATTCACTGCATTTTTTGTTCTTTTACAACAAGGTACCATTAGTTGCTTCCTCCCAATAAGGCCAGAATCATCATTTTCTCATTAAAACAAGCTAATTGTATCTATGGAGGAAGACTCAAAGCACTAAATGTTTAATTTCTTTTGGCTTGCAATGCTCAGTTCAAACATAATTAAGTTATTCGGGTCATATAAGGTTCATGTTCATGCTGCAGGTCATGACGATAGTGTTGGCCCTTCTATTAGTACGTTGAAGATGAGAAATGTTAATAAAGCTCAGATGACTAAGCAAATACTTCAGTGTGCATTTCTGTAGAGCAGATTGTGAGGCAAGGACACCGCAGACAAACTGCAGAGCATCACGACTTTGAAGTGGGATGTAGGTCACACATCTAGCATGAGTGCACAGTTAGCAGGAGCTAACAACGGTTCTTGAGCTGCAGCGTAGCAAATCATTATCTGCAGTGCATGATGGGGTGAAAAAACCCCAGCATGATCGGAGAACGTTGTGCTGTTGACCTCCAAAAATAGCAGCAAAGCCGCTATTAGGTGCACCTTGCTATAGGTAAGGGAGATCAAGTCTAGTATCCTGGCGAACAGCCATGGTGACTGGCCCAGATCTCTCGCCCCAGCATGAGGTCAGCGTTTCCATGGAGACGGACCAGCTGAGTGGTAATCTGCTGTTGTTTATGCATAGGCCCGGGAGGGGAGGTGCAAGAGACAGGATTGAGGAAATGGAGGGTTGATCACGTGACCGACATCTCCTCCACTCGCATTTGCATACCAGAGCGTTCGCCGCAGCACGTTCGGCAGATCAAACCGGAACCAGTTTTGGGATTACACGCGCAAAAATGAGGTCAAAAGAGCAGCAGCACCAGATCCCTCTTGTGGAAGATGTTACAATAACACAGATGCCACAAGACAAATGCAGCCACTCACTCACTCAAGGCTTTCTGCATTCAAAAAACACCACTGACTTCTATAGGCTGAGGGGGAAAAGGGGGTTTGGCCTTATGCAGCACTTCACCGGCTCCACCCTTTCCACGCTCTCCTCCTCCACATTATTAGAGTGGGATAATGCATTAAGCCCCTTCAGACCCCTCCAGAAGAGCGCTCACTTTAATCCAGAGAGATTTGAACAGTCACAAGAGACCCTATTGCCGAGGCTCACGTTGAAGCGTGCTCTCGAGCGTTCAGTAAAGCTGTGGTTCAGTGCTGTGTGTGTACAACATGCACACTAGCAGAACAGCCCCTCTCTCTCTCTCTACGTTACGAATCCTCTTTATCTCCATGGATCCTGAATTCCATGTAAAGGACGAGGAACTACTGGCTTTGTATTTGGCGCCACCCACTGACTAAACATCCGCTTTACTGAAATCAGCCTGTTACTCATAATCCTATGTAGGTTTTCTTATTAATCATTACTCAGCGTTACAACCTCAAAAAGTCCCCGACTTGAGAAAATTTAAAAATAAACGATACAATGGGAAACAAAAGTCAGAGACTTATTTTTTTTCATTTAAAACTGGAAAATCACTGAAAGTACACATTTAACATCAGTCAATCGAGCATTATTTAATGACAGAACGTAAGTAATTAGCACTAAAACGTATGAATGAAAACGTATGAATGCATATTTGTTATTTTAACAGAGCTGCGGACTGGTGGTGGTGCTTGAGACATCTACAAGATTAAGAAAACATTTTCCTCAATAGGCATGTAGTTGATTGCATTTACTTGTGAGACTTTAATTCTACATGATATCCAGTAAAATACGAGTAAACAGGAAAACATATATAGTTTGGTGTTGATTAAGGGTACATGAGCCTTATTGATGGGGCCGCTGAGTCTGGGAAACACTGGCTATAAACAAAATAAACAAGAAATTAAGGATGACAGAATACTTGCACCAGGCTAGCTTATATAAATTTTATTAGGGCATGATACATTTGTAGAGGTTTATTTCAGGCATTGTCGTCAACACTGCAGTCACCGAATGACAACTAGGCTACTAATCAAACTATTCAAATCAAATGTAAAGCCTCACAAATAAATTAAAAAATCTCAACACATCAAAGAGTAAAAAAACTGTATTAGCCCTGACTAGCATAGGTTACTCGCTCATTGATTACTCTGCTGTGTCCTTTTGATCTGAATGCCTGTAATCAATCAGTCTAAACAGCTCAGACGATTTATCATACTACACAAACTATGCATTGTTTTGAAAATGTGAACGGTTGAAGTTGATGCTTAACATTTAAAACCTCATTACTTTTTCGAAATAATCCATTAAACAATTTACGATTTGAGGAGAGTGCGTTAATATTTTCAGTCTTGCATGCTGCGTTGTCAAGGACACGCCCACAATAGGGCAAATATCATGAATATTCATGTCTACTCACAGGAACTGAATATTACACAATACCGACATTGTAGGCTGAATAATTCCCAATTAATTTCCTGTTATTTTGACAGGAAAATACAATAAAGAATGTCATTTACATGTGGGGCGTCAATTTTATTAAGTTTTTATTATCAATTTTATTTTTTTAAGTGTGCAAGACTCTCTCGCTCTAGCTCTCTCTCTTTGCGTGTGCGAGAGAAACACTTCGCGAGCGCCTTGACACTACAGTTTACGGTGCATCAAATACGCTGCGCATAGAAATAGAGCGCTTTACGGATCGCTTGACGGAGAGTGAAAATCTCAAGTTCAGGACGAGTGAAGGTGAGTAAATATACCTGTGCTAAACTTGTACATGTATTAGCCAAATGATAGACATTACTATATTCGCATATAGCATGAAAATTTACGTGCATTGTAGAGGGTTGAATTTTTTTAATATATATATATATATATATATATGATCTGCACTGTTTTTGGAACATACCAAATACTAATAAATTCTGGCAATTCTAATTAATATCTAATATATTTTTGTAATAATAATAATCAATAAAAGTCAATTTTTCCAAAAGAAATAAATATCCCCACAAATAGTCCTGAAAACATTATTTAATCAAAATTGCTGCAAGTCCTTTTGTATCAGTCAACACTTTTAAAGTGGAATCCAACAGCAGAAAATATAGATGGTAAACGGGTATAATAATAATAAATGGGATAAATGAACACGTGACCATTAATTGTTTGCAATGTATATTTGTTGTAATCACCATTAGTATTTAAAGCCACCTGATTCCAAAAAATCCAATTCTTGAGCTGAAAATAATCCAAAAATGTCTTGCTGAATGACAAACAACGGTGTATAAATGGATATGTACGTGTGAATCTGTAAGGTCGCCAGACCAGTGTGTAATCTGAGCCCGAGCTGAACTGTACCGTGAGAGAGGCTCTGCTCACAGTCACGTTTAGGATGAGGACAGAAATATAGTGGCTCGGCGAACACTGCTTACATATGGAATGCATATGTTCTTCATGGATGACGCTCCTCATTTCCCCAGTGACAGCCTGCCAGAGAAGACAAATGCACAGATTAACCGCTGAGGGAAGCATGCTGACATATGGGCATCAATATAAACAGAAAAGAATACTACCGTAAGTAACAGGGCTGAGGGCAAAACTTGAAAATGTGTTCTGTCCACTGAGTAATTGTTTAATAATGTTTAAGAGGGGGAAAAAACACGATGTGAGACTAGCATTAAGACCCATTCGCACGAAGAACGATAACTATTAACTATAGCTTTAGACTAGTGGTCGATCCCTATTGGTTTTTCGATGGACAATATGTATACACTTTATATTTATGTGAATTAATAATTAATAATACATTAGAAAAATAATTTGAAAATGAATTAAAAAATAAAATTACAAATAAAGAAATTGTTTGAAAAAATAGGCTATGAATAAAAAGGAAATAAACACTGTAACCAACATGCACTCAAGGCTAATCTGGTGAATTTGTGCGCACTGGGAATCATATTTTTTTAAATTAAGACAAGGGAAAACTAATTTTAATAACAGCACAGTGGACATTACATGATTATGATATAGTAGGAAACTGAATATAGTGCAGCAGAGTTTAAATCTGTGCGTCTCGTTTTATCGTGCGTCTCCAGTGAAGCTGAACTCTCCTGTCTGCATCCGATTCACACGAATATCAGAATATATGTCAGAATATCTGATGGCTGGATTAAACTAAATCTGCAAGGTTTGTAAAATGAAACGTTTATCAGATATTCAAAGATTTGTTTAAATTATATAAATTCGTATTTGCTGAATGCTGAAGGTAAATGAGAAAGTAGAATAGTGTTTGCCTTTCTGTTGCTAATAGTGCAAACGCTATAATACTTTTTCATAATACGGTTTACTTTCTTTGTTTAACAGTTCAATCTAGTAACGTATTAGACAAAACTGTTAAACAGAGAATGAAGACAGAGAATGGGAGCGCTGTGTTCTCAGGCCGCTTCCAAACAGAAAAATATCGGCATCGGCCGATAAGTTTCAAATCTAAAATGTAAAAATGCCAAATATAGGCCGATATAACATCCTTGGCGATATGTCGGTCAACCACTACTTTAGACTCAGTTAGGACAAGTTGTCCTGCACTGCTCTCAGATCACAGAATACAACATTTCATGAGGGGATTTTCCCCTTGCATAACTACAACTGGGAAAGTTTCAGTTCGTTTTGAAGATCATGCTTGATTGAGGAAAGGAGACAATATGTTTATTGTTTTAGTATGTTCAGTGTGTGAGGAGCACTCGGATCTTACTTGTCAAAGTAGTCGTCCTGGAGGTTCAAAACTAGGCTGTCTGCACTCAGGTACACCTTGTTCTGAGAAGTTGCCACCTGGTAAAAAGATACAAGATTATGAGCCAAGGGCTTATACACATATATATATACATATATATATTAGACACACACATACATGGTCATGTGAAATAGAAAGTACACCCTCTTTGAATTCCATGGTTTTACATATCAGGACATAATAAAAAATGAGCTGGTCTTGAGCAGGTCTTAAAATTAGCTAAGAACAACCTCAGATGAACATCAACACATGACATATTACACTGTGTCATTATTTAACAAAAATAAAGCCAAAATGGAGAAGCCATGTGCGAAACAAGTACACCATATGATTCAGTTGCTTGTAGAGTCACGTTTAGCATATAACTTTGAAGTTATCGTTTTCTGTATGACTTTATCATTCTCAATTTTTTGGCCCACTATTCTTTACAACGTTGCTTCAGGTCATTGAGGTTTGCGAGCATCTGTTTATGCACAGATCCACTCTTAAGGTCCCGACACAGCATTTCAATCGGCTTGAGGTCTGGACTTTGATTGGGCAGTTGCTACATCTATTCCGTTGTAGATTTGCTGGTGTGCTTGGGATCATTGTCCTATTGCATGACCCAATTCCGCCAAGCTTTAGCGGTCGCACAGATGGCCTCACATTTGACTCTAGAATACTTTGGTATGAGGAGGAGATCATGGTCGGCTGCAAAACAAGCCAAAAATCCATAAATCCTCCGTCAGTGTGGTCTCATCCGTCCAAACGACATTGTTCCAGAAGTCTTGTTTTTTTTGTTCAGATGCAACTTTGCAAACCTACGCCGTGCTGCTGTTCTTTTAAGAGAGAAGAGGCTTCCTCCTGTCATCATGAACTAACATTTTACATGTTAACTGAGGCCTGTGTGTGGAGACTGAGGTGTAGCTCTTGGGAATTTAGCAGTTTCTCTGACCAGTGCACGGTCTGGCGTTGGGGAGAATATGCTGGGACGTCCACTCATGGGAAGATTGGCAACGGTCTTAAATGTTTTCCACTTGTGAAAAATCTTCCTCACTGTAGAATGATGGACTTCAGATCGTTTGGAAATGGCCTTATAACCCTTCCCAGATCGATGGCAACAACAAGTTGCTTCTCTAAGATCATTGCTCATGTCTTTCCTCCTTCGCATTGTGCAAACTGCCAAAACATCTGCTTTTATAGAGTTGGTCAGGCTTGCTAATGATCAATTATTCAAGGGCGTTTGATTAGCAGCGACTGACTGCAACTTTCCCTCTTAATTCATATGGACACAGTAAGGATCTACTTGGTTTTTCACCCATGGCTTCTCCATTTTGGCCTAGTTTTTGTTAAATAAATAATGACACGTGTTGATGTTCATCTGAGGCTGTATTTACCAAATTTTAATGTCCTGATACGTAAAACCATAGAATTCAAAGAGGGTGTACCCATGGGTAAGGGTGTAGCAATCCAAGGTGATAGCCAATTTGGCAGGTTATGATTCATAAATTGTTCTAATGCGTTGATATGCTATACCCTCCACGGTGGATTTTCACCTGCATTTATCGAGTTGTCGGGTGTTAATTGGTCTTTTTATGGCTTTATTAGATAGGACAGTGTCGAGATCAGACAGGAAAGCACAGGGTGGAGAGAGAGGAACGGGATTGGTAAAGGACCTCGAGCCAGGAATCAAACTCAGCTAACCCACGAGGCTATCGCCTCCGACGCCTTTTTGTATTATTATTGCATACTAACATAGTATGTATACTGTGCAGAGCACACATGACATACCCAATCACCTACTAGGTTGCTTCAACTTGACCTTCCATTACTAGTGAGATCAAATTAACGCAAAGTATTTAAAACACAGCAATGATTTTTAATATCTCTATTTTTAATCATTATATGACTAAACTTCCAAAAGTGAAGACATTTTTGAAAATTGATTTTCAAGACAAAAACTTGTGTTGCTCATGTAAACTGTGGAACTGCCAGTAAAGTACTAAGTTGTAGCAGCTACCGTCCAAAAGTTTGGGTCTTTACGTTGTTGTTTTTTTATGTTTCTGAAAGTCCCATCCTATAGGCTTCATTATTTAAAAAAAAAAACATTAAAACAGTAATATTGCGAAATATTACCATTTAAAATAATGGTTTTCTATTAACATTATCAGTATAATGTATGACCTTCAGAATCATTCTAATATGTTGATTTGATGCTCAAGAAACATTGCTTGCTTAATCTTTTTTTTCAGGATTCTTTAAAGATATAGTTCAAGAGAACAGGATTTATTTGAAATAGTAATCTATTTGCTACACCTTTACTGTCAATTTTGATCAATTCAATGCGTCCTTGCTAAATAAAAGTATTCATTTTGATTTATTTAGTTATTTCACACTGGCCACAAACTTCTGAATGGAAGCGTATCAACACCTGCTAATGTGAGTCAGTGAAATTCAACCAATGATTTCTTTTGTTTGGAGTGTCTCTTACCGTTTTGGCGATACTTTGGGCTGCTCTGATACGTCTAAGTTTAAGGTATCCAGGGTTCTTCAAAACAGCTTGACCCAACTGGAGTGCACAAACACACAATAAAAACAAAAGCAAATTACTCTGTACCCTTGATTGAGCCTTTGTTTACCGTCAGCAGACGGCCATTGACCTGCAGCCCGTTTTAGAAACAGAATTGCATCATATCAGCAGAAAAGAGTGCAAAAGCAAAGTCATTTCTGAAGACACGAAGACTGCAAACACTGGAACATAAACAAATCGAAAGAATGACTGAGAAATGTCCATAACGCACAAACAAAAGAGAACAAATGCTTTCAAAAGTGTTTTGGTTGCGGATAGCTTGTTGAGAATGAGGGGGGCAACAGTTCAAAATAGCCTAGATGAGTGACTGTGGCTTAATTATTACAGAAGCAGGATTCATTAATTATATCTGATAATTACAGTCATTTACCACTCACAGATCTAGAACATAATAACAGGGAATAATAATCATATGAAATGAGGTGCTTGTGGATGCAAATCTGGGACGTTTGATGGTAACCAAGGAAACCCCTTATTATAATAATCCTTAATAAAACAGAGACGGTGTTTCAACGATGGTCAATATGTGGGATAGAGAAAGCTGCAGTAGTTTACCAGTTTAGCAGCCTCGGCTTCACCCTCGGCCTGGATGATCTTCTGCCTCTGGTCCTGTTTGGCCTTCTCTACGTAGAACTGAGCCCTCTGGGCCTCCTGCTGGGCTACACGGCAACAGGACACAAAGCTTATTTAATTCATAGAAAATTGGCTCACACATAAATATTCTCCTTTTTCGGGCTAACCTACGTGTACCTTGGTTCATTTTTAAGTGATAAAAATAAACATTTCAGTTCTTACAGAAATGGTTTATGCAAGTTGTGTATTGTTGTTTGGTCAATAGTAGGGCTGCAACGATTAGTCGACGTTGTCGACAACGTCGACAATAAAAATTTGTCGACAAATATCTTTGTTGTCGAGTAGTCGTTTGATCTCACGTGACCTAATGTAAGGGCCTGCAATCCCGCGATTTGAACGCTACGGCGCTGTAGCGCTAGAGTGTAGTGCAGCCCTTACAAATGCTATTGCGGTAGAAGAGAAAACAGCGCGAATTATGACAGTGCAAACGAATCCGAACTAGCAAGGTTTAGGTTTGGGAAAGTTTCACAAACCTTCAAATCAAGAATGCTGTCGTGTGCAATGTTGGGGTGCAAGAGGAAACATCCCGGCAAAAGAGGAGCCGGTGAGAAGTGAGTGTTCTCCAGCTGGAGCTAACTAACCACCAGCGGCAAATCTCTCTTTATTAGAGAATGCAATACTACTAATAATAGTAATAATATTATCAATAGTAATATAATTACAGTAATGTGATGACTTATTTTGTATAGAATAAAGCTTGATCGAGCTTAGGAGTCAGGGCTGTTTTTATTATTGTAACACTATTAGTATATTAGGTATTATTATAGTCTTATCACTTGCCTGTATTTTGTTCAATAATCATGAAGACTTACAAAACGAGATGTTATATCCTTCCTATGATATAGGAAGAATATCACGGCAGTCACTTTATCATACTATAAATTAAAAGGGAATGAGAACGTCTCTGTCAGCTCAATTGTCATGTAAAAAAAGATTGTAATTTTATAATTATAATAATTGTTTGCAGATTAATATTTTACCATTCTTTGTGTCCTGAAGTAAATGTCCCTTTTTCTGTTTCAGTTCTAAGAAAAGCAGTGGGCCTATTAAACAATGCTTAGAGAGCATTTGTGTGTGATTTGAGTTGGACCGAAATCTGAAAACTTAAAGAGAATGACCTGTTTAGTTGGCTCAAAGTTCATTAAAACAACTATTTCAAAAGCTGAAGTGATTTTCTTTTTTTATATTATAGTTAGAATATGTATAACTCAATGTTTTAACTAATTGGAAAAGCTGAATAATCGTTCCAAACTTACTGATTAGTCTGCGAAATAATCGACGATTAGTCGATTAATCGTTCTAATAATCGTTAGATTAATCGATTATCAAAATAATCGTTTGTTGCAGCCCTAGTCAATAGGGAATACTGGTGAAATAACTAGACCAGAGTGCCCTCTAGTGGAGAGCATTAAGATAAGCACATGTTCTTTCAAAGATGCACCACTATGGGTGATAACCGGTCAAAATAATGTTTTTTTTTTTTCAACAGCTGCAACTCCGATTTTCACAGGAATATATATTTAAAGTACAGAAGTTATTTTAAATGATATTGGTGTATTTTAAATATTTCAAAATGTTACAGTTTTTTATTAAATAAATGCATCCTTGGTGAGCATAAGTTTTCTTAACATAAACATAAAATCCTACACCAAATCTTTGAATGGTAGTGCATACTGCATTACTACCTTATACATAATTAAGACCATTTCTTCATGTCACACAGAACATTCATTCAAAACGAAAAACCAAAAAAATCAAGAACTTATTGCAGCAGAGGTGTCAAACTCAAGGCCCTAGTGCCTGTCATGTCTCAGTTAATGCTTTCCTAGTGAACATTAAAGTGTAAATTGCAGGTAAAAAATTTCACGAAAATAATGCAATGTGCTTACTAAACATAAAGATAAGAACCGTCCACCATTGTTTTTTTTATGTTTTTTATACCAAAATGCTGAATATAATATGAAAAGTTGGTGCGTTTTACAGTGGTTTTAAGCACGCCCCCTCCCTTCCACTAGGCTGGGCGTGACATCATAAAAGGTACTCCAAGCTTTTACTGTCTATGCTCCAGGCCTGGAGTTACGTTATATTGGAGACCTAGCTAGCAAAAATGGTTAACTATTGTGTTTGTGCGGGATGTACGAGTACATCAAAAACGGGGGAGAGGCTCCACAAGTTCCCCAAGGACAAACGGCTGATTCGTGCCTGTAAGTGTTAGCATAACTTACCCAAGGTAGAGCTTAGATCGGGCCCAAAAAAATCAAGCAAGACCCTACCCGGCCCTGCCCGTCACATTAACTGTAATTATGAGCCCGAGCCCGGTTTAAACCCGACTATTTTTTAATACGTGGGTCGTTATAACTTACGTTCTCAACTACTTTCTATTAGGGATGTGCACGAATATTCGAATTTTCGAATAATCGATCTGTAATTATTATTCGAAAAATAAAATACTATTCGAATTTTACTACGTTGCTTTGCTGGCCGTAAATGCAGTGAATCCATGATAAATCCCAAGCACTAACTCGCAATTATAATTAAATGCACAGGGTGGCGCTGTGGAGTGTGTTAACAAGTTGTGTGTATTTGATCACATAATGTTGTCGTCTGCCTCGCGAAGTTTGGAATTACTTGAAAATGATCTTACTAAATGGAATTACTTTTGATCAAATTAATTAATTAATCTGAGTTATAATATCATCACCACAATGAGAAATCACATGAAATCCAAACAGTCGAATGAGGAAAGATAGCTGTCCATCACTGCATTCACGACTGCAGGTAAGCGCAGCTGGACCCCGCGTGATCCGAAATGATAACTTATCTTATAGCAAAATTATTTTGAGACATATACTTCCTTTAAGTTTCGTTGAGGGAGACCGGTTTAAGAACAGAAAACGCAAAGTGCTGTTAGAAACTTAGAACACCGTTATCTTTGTGTCTCTGAAGCGTCTGTCAGCAAAGCGCCTTTTCTCCTTCGAGCATAAATTGCTGGTGCATCCCCCTGCATGTGGATATTGTTTTTCTCCATATAAACGTGAAACAATATAAACACGATAATCATATGCTGACTCGAGTGTGTGTGTGCGTTCTGTACGATATCTGGCGCAATATGCTTTATTAGGCGTTTTTTCCCGTTCGCGCTGCTTGAGCATGCTTTTATTAATGCTTTTGTTTTTCATATTTTTTGTTTACACATAGGCCTACTGTTTAATGTTTTCAACTAAAAGAAAACTTTTACATATATTGTAAGCTTGTTGTGTATATTGCCTAATTGTAAGCGTGTTCAGAAATGGTGACAAAAACGTAAAAAAAAATTAAACTTAAAACATAACGTCTTTTTCGTTAAACGTCATTTAAATAAACGAATATTCGAATATTCGATTTTTATGAGCCCGAATATTCGAATGCAATATTTTAGAAAAATGCCCATCCCTACTTTCTATATTACTTTCTCCCGCCCGCAACATGTATGTTTTGTCCCGCTCCCGCCCGCAAAAAGACTTTTTTTCTGTACCTCCAAATACTTTCAAGTTAGCCTACGTGTCGCCACCACACACATCAGCATACATGCTCCTGATAAATTATTCGTTATAAAGCATTAACACACAAACCACTGTTATAACATAAAAGCAAGCAGCTACTGCGTGCATGGTTTGGCATGCCTGATACACGCTCCCACAATAATTCCTAAAAAGCTGACATCAGTTCATCGCGATCTCACACATCTCTGTTATTATCAATGAATCTTTTATAATATATACACTATGTTTGTTATAATTAGAGGATTTGCCAGCATACAGAATTCATCACTGAACAAAAAGTCCTTTTTGAGCGGTGAGGGAAGTCTATCGTAAACGCTTCTGATTGGTCATTATTGCGTTCAAGAAATCAACACATGTCTGTGATTGGCTACATCGCTCAACGCTGCAGACATGTTAGAAATAGAAACTCTGCCTGTAAATCGTTTCTATTTTGTTTTAGTTGTTCTTATTGCTTTTCTGCAACAGATGAATACAAATGTATTAGTTTTTATGTTTTATTCATAGATATTTATAGTTTGCGGGAGTCCCGCGAATCGTTTTATTCTCCCTCAACCGGCACACACAGAGTGAGTGCATTACCGCCCGCGCTCCCTTTTATGACGTCATCACCCAGTTACGGTAAAAAACATGCTACCTTTGAAGAAACCCCAATAAATGTTATTTTAAGGCATTTTAAGACAGAAATTTTTAAATGTATACATATTAAGCACTTTAATTTACACATTAATTGGTTGTGGTGGTTAACCTGCAATTTACACTTTAACTCTATGATGCGTATGATCACACTGGTGCCGAACGTTCAGTGCGTCATCCATCGTGACCTCTGCGATCTTAGATGCATCCGAGCAAGAGACGGACTCAATCAGCACGTGTGTGTTCAGTGTTTTCAACCAGCACTAGTAAAAGCAATTTAATTTATAGCTTGAAAAAAATGACAGTGAAGGAAACAGAATTGAAAATACACTGAAAACCTTGACCAAAATTTGTTTATATGCTGATTGATTTAGCCAACGCCTTCCTATATATATATATATATATATATATATATATATATATATATATATATATATATATATACACTGTATATATTAGTGCTATCAATCGATTCAAACATTAATGAATTAATCAGAAAACTTTCTGTAATTAATTGCACCTAACATTAAAGTTTTTGAATATATTTTTATATTGTAATACTTTCACATTAAATCTGCAAAATAATGTAAAATGACAAAAAGACAGTACATTTTCCATATTTGTTTAATGGCATCTTTTTAACGGCCTTGCTAAAATGCACAAAAAAGTTGTCTTCATTGTTTTTGACTCAGTGAGTGATTTTCTTTGATTAACAGTAATGACACAGACAGCATCGGGTAAGACTCTGCTTATGAGGATACTTGACAAAACGGGAATTTGGACATAATTCTGTGTGTTTTTGTCCGTTCAAGGACGAAAGAGAACTTAATGTGGCGATGCTGTCTGAAGTGGCACTCTGTCTGCACGCGTTTGTTCACAGAGTCGCTTCACAGACAGCCTACCGGTACAGATTGGAGTTATTTTTTTACGTCTTATCGCGTTTGTATGGTTTAATAGCACTTGAATGAATGAAATAGCACTTGATAGTATGATCATATACAGTAATGCAGTCAGAGGATGACAGAAAAAAACGCATGCTATGTTATTTGCGTTAAATATTATTATAAACAAACAAACAAAAAAAAAATCACATGCATTAACGCATTAAATTTGACTGCCCTATATATATATATAATGTATATCATTGTTGGAACCAAGACAGAATGTGGCATTTTAGACAATTAATAAAGTATTGTGTGAAACTGACTATTACAAAGAGGCTCGTCTCATATATCCAACGTAAACAAATCATATTATTATGTGACTAGGTACAAAATCATATTTTTTTTAGCTTAGGCATGCTTAGTTTAGGGTGCTAAATTCTGTTACGGATTAGAAAAGATGTATTTTGGTACTACGTACCAACTTGTTTGGCCTCCACAGCAGCAGTGTACTCTTTGCTGAAGCTGAGCTCTGTGATGGCCACGTCATCCAGGATGATGTTAAAGTCTTTAGCTCTCTCGATTAGATCTCTCCTTATGAGTAGTGACACCTGACCACCAAAATAAAATGACACACAAATAAAGGCTAAGCTGATTTTCTCAGTAACTGATCACCTCATTTAAACCAGCAACAGGCATGCAGATACGACGAGGTCCAAAAGTGAAACTGCTTATATTTTTAAGTTGTTCTATTTAATACAAAGTGTGAATGTCTTAGTATTTGCTATGTCCTTCTTTTGCTTTATTGACACCAGCATTTGAGCTGACATGAACTCCAGAAGTTTGTGTAAAACTCATGTTACCCAACATGATTTGGTAATGTTCAGAAGAGCATCTTGTGCTTCATTGGAATCCCAGATTTTCACAATTGGACCCCACTGTACAAAAGATATCTAAAAAACTGTAATAAAATTTGGTCACAAGTTAATATGAATTATGTAATCATGTGTCTGAGCTGTCGTCCCGAAGCATCAGGTGAGAGTGTGTGAAATAACAGCCTTAAAAAGCTCTTTAACTAGACAAAGCCTGAGCTTCTCAGACATCACAGAGAGTTAATCATTTCTGTCTCACACCAGGCTTAGACTAGAGAAGCAGCTGGCGGTGGTAAAGTCAAAGGTCAGGGGAAGGTGAATTTAGGGGTTGGGACTGAATCTTATAACAAGATCAAATAGAATCCGCATTAAGATAAATACTTGATGATATTGATACTATCCATTTGAGAATGTGGTCTCAGGCATCAGGTTCTCTCCTCTATATGACCATGTCTTTCCAAACCTGTATATGACTTCCATTCAAAACAAAAGGAGACATTCTGAAGAATGTTCTCACGGCTCTTTTGCATGGAAGCAAATAGAGACCGAGGTTGCCAAGCTAAAAAAAAAAAACACACACACAAAAAAAAAAACACCTGTATATGACTTCCAAAAAGCACTATTTTTGCACTATAAAACCGGGAATTCACTGCTATGTACTCAAAATTGTGCCTTCTGTCACAGGTCTCAAATATTAATGCTTGTGCATAATCAAACTTGGTTCAAGTCAATGACACCGAATGGCATAGCTTCTTATTTCTGCTAAACATCTCCTTCAGTGGTTGAGTAGAAAAAAAAAGAAAGTCATTCAGGTTTGAAACAACATGCCAGAATATTTTGTTTTCAGGTTATCTATTACTTCATTACAGTAATAGTACTTCAATCTTATTCTTTAATGCAAACCTGCGAACTCTGGAGTGGCAAAAAATAAAAAATCTCCAAGCATAGCTGTTTTTTAAGTAATTAAACTCACAGCTTCACTCTTAGTAAAGAGACACTGAGCAAACACAATATACACATGCACAAACTATCTCTCTCTCTTCACTAATTCATTGAAATAAATGCTACATTAGCGAAATGCTTTCTAACAAAAGCTAGATCTAACAAAATAACTTGACTTCGTCATTTGCTTGCTTTTGTCGCTTGCATTTTTCTTCTCGGGCACTGGTTCACCTGAAGGCCAGCTGTTGGCTCAGTGTGTCTCAGACTTCAGTCTTCATACTGTACCTGGGCTCTCTGCGTGATGAGTTGGGACGCGTTGAACTTGGCCACCACGCTCTTGAGCACCTCGTTGACGATGGAAGGAAGCACACGCTCGTCATAGTCTTTCCCCAACTGCTGGTACAAGACCGGCAAGCTTGAGGCAACGGGCCGAGAAAGGACACGAAGACCTATGTTCACCATCTGGAGATCTGTGATGGACAGTCACATGAAGGTCACACTCTTAATGCGCTGGTCATTGACAAAGGCAACGGTGAGAGACAGGGTATGTTGCCCTAACAGCAGGCAACGTATTTTAAGGCTTTATCATGCACATTTTTAACATTTATTGCATTTATGACAATAAAACATCTGGTTTAAAGTCACCTTTGCTTCCAGTGAGAGATGAAATCTTCCTTGGCCTGGCTCGAATATCATAGATGATGGGGTACTGGAACCACGGTATCCTAGATGCAAGACAAACTTCTTAAATGAATAGTTTACTGTAAAATGAAACTTTTGGCATAATTTCTTTCTTTTGTGAAGCATGAAGTAAAATGTTAGAGTCCCCACTCCACAAGTTCCCTTTTTCTACAACTAAAATAGATATTTATTTTATAAAAAAAAATTATTCTGCTAAGCTCCAAAATAGCACATATAAAGTGTCATAGAAGTTTTCTAAAGACATACGATAATTATGTGTCAGCAAGTTTTAAATATTGAACCACATTTGAGATTTGGGAGATGATGGGAAGATAACGGTTAACATTAAATTAAAAGTATTTTTTTTATTCAGGATGCATTAAATTGATCAAAAGTGACAGTAAAGACATTTATAATGTTATAAAATATAAATATTTAAAGGGGACCTATTATGCAAAATTCACTTTTGTAAGGTGTTTGGACATAAATGTGTGTTGGCAGTGTGTGTACACAACCACCCTACAGTGATAAAAATCCACTCACTACTTTTTTTTTAAATCCCCATAAATCATAAGCAGTGTCACCCAACGACCTGTTTCAGAATGCGGCTTTAGTGACGTCACTAAAGCCACAGGCCCCGCCCACGAGTGTTGACAGACATTGCCGTTTTAACTTAGACCCCCCCTTGATCGAGTTCACAGCAAGTTGTACACATCCGCCATTGCTGCACTAATGAGAATGTCTCCCAAGCGTTGAAGGTGTTGTGGCTGGATGTATTCATTCACATAGCTCTCTCGATTTACTCCTGAAATCTGAGCCACCCGCTGAAGACGAGGTGGGTTCATTTTGTCTTTGAAAAATGCTCCCTCAACTCTACCGAAATTTGTTTATGTACCTACGCAGTTCTTATACTGTGTTTACTCAGCTCTTACAGTGATTTTCTGGAGTAAAACTGACGCCTATTCTTTTGTGTGACATACAATAAACTTTATAAAACTCATCAGTATATTTTGTGTCATCATTCAGACATGGTCCTACAGCAGGCTTGTATGAATAGTGGCTACACTCAATGACTTAACCTCCTGAGACCCAGAAAAAAAAAGTTTTTTGAATTTAGTTTTTTTCCATGTCATCACACTGTTTAGAGCACAATAAACAAATGGTAAAAAAACACATATATAAAATAATATTTTATTCATACGTTATGCTATGTCCTCTGTAGTAGACGCCAGGACTAAGTTGTTTAAAAAATAAAATGACATGAAATTATATGTATAGGCAAAAACAATGGGATTTTTTTTCAATCACCAATAAATTTTGGGGTTTCAGGATTTTTTCAACCAAAATTTGTATAAAGATTATTCTCAACTATGTTATGAAAGAAATAATGGAATGAATTGATACACCATTTTACTTTTTGCAATATGTGGGTAAAATGGCCATAAATTAATATTCCCATTCAATGCAATGTATCTATACACTGTATCTAATTTGCACATTAATGTGTTCTCGGAGCAACATTTAATGAAAAAAGAAGTGTAACAATTGGAGTAATTATTGGCAACATTTTAATAATATCATCTAACATTTTATAGGAATATTGATGTATAATTTATCTCCATATTCACTTGTTGTGTCTCCCAGAATGCCTGATAAACATGGTTTTAGTCCTGATGTCCTCTACAGTGGACGCGTTTGAAATCAATGCCCTGTTCTGTAACAGAAAGTTTTTTTTTTATTTGAAACCCCTTAACATTTTTCTGAGATGTTGTTTTATGAAATACAATTTGAAAAAGTAGTCCAATTTAAATATAATTACAATATATTATCATATTTCCATAAGAATGCTACATTTGATCACTAAATTAATGTCAGACATTTTTAAAGACCAAGGAGAAGTTGTTTTCATGGTGAAACCTCCAAACATTTGGTATCTCTGAAAAGTCCTGAATGTGCTCTTTACAGGACACCCAGGTTGTGTCATGTGACATGTATGATGTCAGAGAAATTTACTAAAATATAATGTCCACTACAGTGGACAAAAGTCTATTCTTGGGTCCCAGGAGGATATAGGTTATAACCGTAATTAAACTAAACTATACCTGTTCCAACTCAATACAACATATATTCTCTGACTCTGTAGGCATTATTGTCCGAGTCGAAATGAACACCGTTATAGGGTTATAACGTCACCGTGGGGGGCGGGGCGGGGGGGTTAAATAGCTTTTAAATGCGTGCGCGTTATACTTTCACTTTCGAAATAAGCGTCAATTGGCAATTCAGCGTCAATTGCTTGAATGGACAAAAAAAACAACTCGGCTCGCTGATAATAAAACTTTTATTTATAGACAGAACTTTTATTAGCATAACGAACGAATAAAAATAACCCCATGCATAGGCTGAAAATCGTCAAACTGTGGGCCCAAACAAATAAGAACCATAAAACGTTTATTAACGAATAAGAAAATAAAACAGGCCTAAATAAATTACACATTCCGCCATTATCTTGCTTTTCTGTAATTTGACTCGTTCTCATCTCCACACGTGCTAAATGGAATCCTGATGCTTGCTGATCTGTGACGTGACTGGCTCTTGGCACGCACTGCGCAGTTCAGTTTTTAATTATAATGTATGCTCTCTTCTGAACTAAATAATTGATAATTATTATTTTTAATTAATTCAAATAAATATTTTAGCAAAAACGAATACTTTAAAAAAGTCAAGACATCGCGGTGTCACGGTGGGAAAGTGATGTCACCGGTGATGGGGCTTAAAACCGGTAACACCGTCAACACCGTCTATCGCGGCAAGCCTACACCGTTACTGTGTTTCAGTTTCTGTTTTGATATTATCATCTTTCCGTGAGTTGAGATTGTTCACTGAGCGCGAACTGGTTAGGCTCCGCCCACTGTGCTGTGAACCAGCAGCTCATTAGCATTTAAAGGAGACACACTAAAACGGTGCGTTTTTCTCAGCCCCAAAAAGTGACGAATTAAACATGCTGTAAAAAATTATCTGTGGGGTATTTTGAGCCAAAACTTCACATACACATTCTGGGGACATCAGAGACTTATTTTACATCTTGTGAAAAGGGGCATAATAGGTCCCCTTTAAAATAAATGCCGTTCTTTTGAACTTAAAAAAAGCCATTTAAAAAGTATCACGGTTTCCAGAAAAAGGAGGCAGTGCCTCCTTAAAAGAATTGGGTGAGAAAATAATCTATATTACAAAAATAAAAAGAGTACAAATCACCTGTTTTATAGATCATGCCGCGTCTCTCATACCTCCCCTGAGCCCATTGAGTTTCAACAGACCCCATAAAGCGTACGGTGGGTTTGGTAGGGGGTAATTGAGTATGACTGGGTTAAAGACACATGAGAGGAGGCAATGCCTCCATCGCACTGTGACTGGATATGATTGGTTATGGTTACGATTGGATATGATTGGTTATGGTTACGATTGGATTGGATATGATTGGTTATGGTTACGATTGGATTGGATATGATTGGTTTGTGCGATAAATCCCGCCTTTTGTTCTCGTGCGCGTTCACAAATCAGTCTGAATGAACAAAATGAGGGCGTTATTTTAAAACAAATCTTTTAAAATAGAAAAAAGGTTATGTTAAATTGTGATCAAAATACAGAAATGTGATCAAATAAATGCAGCCTTGGTGAACATAAGAGACCAATAACTTTTGAATGGTAGTAAAAACAGTTACCGTATGGTTTTAGAAGACTTCCAGTGCATGAGTCATACAAACTATTTTTTTGAAGCTTTTTGCCCTTTTTGAAGCTCGGCAGTACAGCATTACCCACTTTTCTTGAATGGACAACAGAACCTTGGATAATCTGACTAACACCTTTTGGACTTTACAAAATGGAAAAATTGACTTCCCATTTGAGTGTACTCTCTCTTTTAGGGCGCACTCACAGTAGACACGGTTACCTTGACCGAGACAGAGCATCAATAAGGTGAGAACCAGACTTGTTATAAACCTAAATATATTCAAATGAATTGAAAAGTATACTATCCAGAGTAAAAGAAGATGTTTGTTGTTGTAATGGTGACTGTAGCACACATACAAGAAGTGTTGTCAAACATACCAGTACTACAGGAATATATAGGTAGGTAATATATAGCAGGGTTTCTCAACCTTTTGCCTACTGCGAGTCTGCGACCCACTTTTCTTTTGTATGCCAGTCATATGACCCACTAAATAAATCATAACTGAAATGCCTCTTTAGATCTAGGCTACACCGTAGGCCTATTTGCTTATTATAATTAATGATAATCACGAAAACACACAAACATTTTCAATAATTAGGCAGACTATGAGGCAAACTTATTTTTTTTACTCACGTTAATGTGATAGCCTACTTGAGACTGCCGCTCTGAAATGATCATATCCAGACAGGGTGGAATTTGGAAAAGTGTGACTCGTAGTGTCGCACACAAATAATAGTTGTCAGCCTATTCCTGCTTTTTGTTTTCGTTGCAGTCACTGTTGAAAATCCCGACTCACAAAGATAGTAGTGCTAAATGGGAAGAGAAACTTTGTTGCACAATCTGCGAGTTGTGGATATTCATTTCTGGTTTGAATCCAAGGAATGAAAATAGCCTACGATTCGTTGGAGGATCGGCTACGTTTACATGCACAACTTTTGTTTCAATCGGACTGAATTCATTCCGATAGATGAATCTGAATGTAGTGTTTACATGAACGCTAAACGTGATCGGGTTAATGTGCGCGTTTATATGTCACAAGATTCAAATCGAATTATATTTTTTTTTGACATGCGCACACTGCACGAATATACAGAGTTTCCCCGCTGTTTGCGCATACTAACTATTCTCTTACATTGGTTCTTTATTTGTTTTAAACAGCAGACTTAATATTTATCCATTGCTGGTCATAATTTGGAGACAATGAGCATATGAACTGTTGTGCCGTGCTACTTATTTATCACGCAGTAAAAATGCCCAGCACCCAAAACCAGTCGTCTGTGAATGAGAGTCTGAAACAAGGACTGGTGGGACGTTGTCCTGCTCCATTTCACAGACGCTGAGTGAAAGGGGAATTTTAGAATGATGGTACGCTCATTTACGACACTTTATTCAAAAGGAAGAACAGCTCGTTCAGCGCGTCATACATCATTATGCTATGCGCAGTCCTTTCAGTTTCGGTTTTCAATCCGATCAAGTGTTTACATCTCCTCCCAGTTGGATTAGAAAAGGAATAAACCACCCCTTTCAATCCAATTGAAATTTTATTCGTATCGAGCTCAATCGGATCAATTAAGGTGTTTACATGAAGGCTTTTTAGTCCGATTGAACCGTCAATGCGTTTACTAGCGGATTATTTGGATTTGGTTGCATGTAAACGTAGCCTGTTGCAATGAGCCTTTTGTGAAGCCCACTTATTGGCTGTGCCGGTTAACACAGAGAAAGTCTCGCGACCCCCTATAGAACGAACAATGACCCACTAGTGGGTCGCGACCCACTGGTTGAGAAACACTGATATATAGTACAGGCAGGGTTTGAAATTAACACCTGTCAAATCACAAGCCAATTTGGCGTGTTACTATGTTGACTCACTTTGCTGGGGAAGTTCGTGTAAACCAGATGAAGTTCGTGTATTTTAGTAATTTAGTAGCCAAATTGGCCGGTGGGTGAAAAAGTAAATTTCAAACCCTGAGTACAGGTAGTACCGGGTATATTCGGTGCCCGCTGACAGACGCTGCTTTTCAATGCTCTTGTTCGTGTTTGTTTGAGCGCTCAGAGCGTCTAAAGGTTTTTATTCACAGCGTGTTTTTAAGCGTTGAGCATTGTAGCCAATCACAATCACATCTGTTGAGCGCGTAAACACGATGTCCTATCAGAGGTGCAAGTCAGTAAGTTAGAATTAGTCAGAATCCGCTTTACCGCTAAAAACGCAAAAGGTTTTTTTTGTTCAATATGAGCCACACGCTTTTGAACCAACATAGGTAAACGAGATGTAAATAAGACATTCATTATTGATTTTTTTATAGCGAGAGTTTCCATGATTATAAAGGGAGGGCTCTTCTCTTGCATTCTGTTTATTACCCATACACAATCTAAATACAAGTTTAGTCTATGTAAACTGTTTCTGTATTGTCAACCGTATTTAATTGCGCAATTAAATTGGAAACTGACAGTTGACAATGAAAACCAACAGACGGCATTTTTTTCAAGTACTCTCAATTGCATAGTTTTTGCTCTGGTACCGTAATTGGCACAGAGAACTACACAATTTAACTGTTATTGGTAACAACTACTGAAATGTTGGTACTGTGATAACCCTAGACACAAGTTCCTTTCTCCGGCACGGTTAGAGATCACACTACATGCCTGTAGATCTGTGCCCGAGCCCATCTATGTAAGCGGGCCAGGCATGGTTCAGCATACAAGTCAAACGAACTAGACTTTAGAGGTCACTAGGTGGTTCAGCTGGTCTGGAGTGAGGACACTTATTATTATAATGAAAGCTCATGGCTTGAATGTTGGCCGTCGTGTGTAATGTACCTGATGTGCAATCCTTCTGCAAGCACAGTGTCCATCTGCATCCCTCCAATTCTGTTGAAGATAATGGCTCTCTGGCCACCCTCAACTACACACATACACAAAGCAAAACACAATTAGTTATTAAACTCCCAATAAAGCATGCACGAGTTTAGAAAATGTGAGAGAATTGGGGAGTAGTTAACTACAAGTAGCGACGCTACTAACTTAACTACATTTTTCAGTAGCTTAGCAGTAGCTCAGTTGCTTTTTAAACAGTGTAGCTTTTCCAGTAGCTAACTACTTTTTGCAGCAAGTAGCAGTGTAGCGCGAGCAAAAGCTACATTGTGTTTTGTTGAGCCTGCGCGAATCAGCGCGATGCAAGGATATTCTTCTTCTTGTTAGATTACAAACTAATTTGTTTTGCCATTACCGCCACCTGTTGTTTATTCACGCATCTTGCGGCTAACGGTTCACTGACGTACAGAAGACCTCAAGCACAAATTTAAGGACGCACATACAGGTGATTAATGGCCATTTTAAAATGTATTAATTATCCTGCTTTATTGTTCTCTATGTTACATCAAACGTCTATTTCTGATTTAATTACAATGAACCGCCATGATCTGTCCGCGTTTGGTAATGAACATAAAAGACCACTAAACTAAAGTTTGCGCCATCGTGTTTCAGTTGAACAAAAAATGTAATCTTAGTTTGTTTATCGCACGACAAAGGCTTTGATCTAATTAAATTGGTGTATAGATGTGTTGTGACTGGATCCAGAGCGAACCGAACTGTGCTCACAAGCAGCTTGTGATTCAGGTTCTTCTTTCACAGTAAATTCTGCGAGCTCCATCACTGCATGTGAGCGAGTTTAACGTGCATAGTCAGTGCCACATGTGAGCGGTTGTTCAATGTATTTTGCAATGTAAAATGCAACCATCTCACAGTCACAATCGGTATTTTTGAGAAAAAGTCTATACATGCAATTTACGTTGGATGTATATTTTGTTCTTGCAATGTTGTATTTGTTGCAATTTTGCACTTTTGACAAACAGTCTGAGATATTTGAGTGTTGTGTGTAATAAAACAATACAAATCATAATTGTATTGCATTGTTTTAAACACTAAATATTTTACTTAAAACATTTCTCAGACACTTATTCAGTTATTTATAATATATGTTGTTCAAAAAAAGCAAAAGTAGTTTCAATGTAGCTAGCTACTTTTTGATCGTAACTTGTAGTGTAGCTAACTACTTTTCCAAAAGGGTAGCTTGACTGTAGTTTAACTACTTTAACTAACGAGTAGCTTGTAGCTTGTCAAACTACAGTTTCAAAGTAGCTTCCCCAACACTGGAGAGTACATAATGAAAGAAGAATTATTATTTTTGGAAGAACTTCCATTCATTATTTGATTTGCCCATTCTAACCATGTAATCCTTCTTTATTTTTCAGTGTGTGTTTTACCTGTGTATGTGGCTTCTTTGACACCGTAGGCAAGGGCACCGGCTCCGATGAGCAGCTTCATGCCCAGCCCAAGCCCTCGGGGGCCGGACCCCATCCTGCCAGCAATCTGCCTCAGCTGCTGCAAAAAGTTCTGAGACAAACAGACACATTACAGTCAGACTTTTCAAATACACATTCAAATGGTTATTTATATTATATGAATGATGTTGTCTTATATCTATTCAAGGCAGCATGATATATCATATTCAACATGCTTGAACCTCCTCCAACTAATGCATAGGCATCATGATTTGAAGAGACTTGAAAGTCTCAAGCCAGTTTGATTCAAACTCAAGTTTAGAAAGGCTTTTATAGTAGACTACAAAAAGGTAAGAAAATGTATCCAATATTATAAGGACCACTAAAAAAAAAAAATTATTAGTGGTTTTTGTGCAAGATACCAGTAGCCTTGACCTTGTCTAGGACAAATGAGGACCAATTTTAAAATACTGTTATAAATTCACTATATAACTGAGACAAATTGTGATTTTAGAGTGAGCTACATCATAATAACTATATTTCAATGAAGGTCACACACATAAAGTTATACAACGTGCGTCATTGTGGCATAACTGAACCCTGCAAAGCTAGCACACTACTAGCATTGCTTTTTTTAGACATAAATAAACCTAGACAATGAAATGCAAACTGCTAGAAGCCAGTTATTTAAAATGCAATTATTACCTGCCAACAAAATATTTATATACATTTCCAATACTTTCTTTGTATTTTTAAATATGATGCGACTTACTCCGGGATCTTTATTCGCCATGCTGCTGCCTGTGCTGTTCTCGACTGTACGTCACCTGTGACAGTCCAACCACGTGATGCAGCACTTCCTGGTTTACCCTGTGGCACCATGGGAAATGTATTCTACTGGTGGAACTGTGGTGCAGTAGTGAAATGAATGAACGTGATTAAACCGCGAAATCTTTAACAAAGCTTTCTTTAGAGACCCGTGGATAACCTTTTGCTGTCGTGGTTGGATTAAACTTTAATTTTATACCACCTTTTGTGGGTCTGTTTGTGAGAACACATGAGAGTAGCCTACTTAAACGTGTCGGGAGGTGGCAGTAGAGAACTCTTGTTTACGTAGAGCTCAGCTATATTTTCTACACACATTTCCTTTTCTGGAATGTTACCTTTAATGTTCCTCACATCTTATGATGCTTTGGAATCATTTAGAACATGTTTGTATCTACTGTATTATTTCATGTATAATTCTGGAATAAAAAAAATCATTTTTCATTCTCATGAAAACAACTCTAAAGCTAAATATATTTATTAATTTCACATTATTGGGTAACACTTTATTGTAAGGTGAAGTAATAACAAGTAACATGTAGCAGTAAATTTAAGCATACAAGCAACTAACCCAAAATTAAACCCTAACTGTAACTCTATAGTAAGAAGCCTACATGTAGTTCATTAATATCACTCAGTACTTATTTGAGTAAGCACAATTTAACTATGTCACCTTAAAATAAAGTGTAACCCATTACTCTAATCCAAATGTTTTAATTGAATGTAATTGTATTTAAATTTATCAAAAAGGCAGTGTGCAATTACTACCATGGATGTTTTTTATTTATTTTTAGCCTATTTAAATCAACATAAAGTCAGTACTCCCATATGTGTATACTTGAACGAAAATGATAAATAATAACCTTAATGATCCTAAAAAATACCTTAATTGTTCTTAAACAAAATGTAATGTATTATTTCTTTAATATATTAAAAAAATTAAATGTTACAGACATCTCAGTATGTAAGCCCTTACATATTCCAGACATTTCTGTCTCTCATTTCGTGTACTGGGCAACCTGGCCTCAAAACTGCAGAGAGATCGACGACACATCTGTAGCCTACATCACACTCTCACGCCAATGCCATCATGGCTGAATAAACTATTTAATTGCTTGAAATGCTGGAACATTTATGCGAAGAAGTTTTTTTTCCAACAAATCAAGCATACAATGAGTCAGAAATAAGTATAATAAGGAGCAAAGCTGCCTGTCTCTGCTTCCATCTTTCCCCCAAAGTTATTTTGGTGTCTCCTAATGATTGATGCTAAGACAATCAATTACTGTCCTTTTACTCAAGACTTTTTCATTTCAAAATCTTTTACTCAAGTCAGTCAGACTGATAGCTTGTGTGGCACACACACAGTGTATTTGTTTCTATGTGTCAGAGATACCTGATATGATTGACTTTCCTGCTCCAAATCCTGTTCTGAATCTGTCACTTTTTATCCCTTCTTGACACAATGGCAGATGGTGGATGTATGAATTTGACACGGTGACAATAACACTCTGAACACCCGTGTGATGCTCACTGTGCTGTCATTGTGTGACCTTTGACTAGTCTGACATCAGCCCATCTGGCATCTCCTGGGCTGAGGCATTCATTCAATTGCATTTACATCAATGCATCCATGTCCTGGCCTGTTCACTATGTCTAAGCGAACTAAGGTCAAGTGGGTCAAATAAAAAGTATAGCCAAGATCGGCCGGCACTTTAAAGTCCCACAGTAGTCAATCATTTTATCCCATAAAACTCATCTTTGATCACCAAAATGATTGGATTGACAATTTTCCTTGAAAAACATTTCTTCATATTTTAAAATGGCTTGAATGTGACTCTACACCCTTGCGTCATTTAGTATAAGTGGTTCTATGAATATGCAAATTAGCCCCGCCTCCACTCACTCACACCAGGGCTGCGTTCAGCGCCGACAAAACGTTGCAGAACGTTTTTTAAACAGAAACGGTGATGCGTTGAACGCACTGTTGTGATGACGCAAGAGTTGCAACTACGGCAGCTGAGAAGGCTTTTTGTGTTCTTTGTGAAGAATTTTCGGAGCCTGATGAAGTCGGTATAAATATGTTTAATACTACAAAATATGCCCGATGTTACAGTTACTGCACTTGCCGCCCAGAACACAAGAGAACATCCCAATCGAGTGAAGGGATTTGTGGAAACTGAAATGGAAGCACATCTTACCTAATAAAGACTAAAACACATCTATTTAGCCTCACATTCTTGTTGTTCATAATGTTTTATTAATACCCTGTATTTTCTTTCTCATCTTTAGGAAAAGCACTTTACATGCATTGTTTATTTCTATACCAAATGTCACACACTTGCAATGAAGCTAAAAATATAAACAACTACATCATTATGTTGATATCTATATTTTTACAATAATACTTATGACAAACATGTCTTCTGATATCCTTAGTTGTTGCGTATCGAACACATTTGTAAATTACTTCCATTGTGCGAGTTCTCTTTAATACCGTGTGCTTTATATACATGTTGCTGCTGATTGGACTGCAGTTCTGACACGCCCACCAAACAAGAGAAAACGCATCTCAAACCCCGTTGCACACCGGTACACACCGTTTCCAGGAAACATGACGTTCAACCCGGAAACCGTAGCAAAACGTTGCGCACCGTTGTGATCTTGAACATGCCCCAGCTCAGAGATCCACTCATTGACCTGATTGGTTACAAGGTAGTTTGTGACGTCAGAAACACCAGCGATTTCAAACAGTGTTTTTGGTTCACTGCAGTTTTAAGGAGAAAATACTCAGCAATGGAGTTGACTTATGACTTTGCACATGGTTTGTCTTAAAGGGTTAGTTCACCCAAAAAATGAAAATTATGTCATTAATGACTCACCCTCATGTCGTCCCAAGCCCGTAAGACCACCGCTCATCTTCGGAACACAGTTTAAGATATTTTAGATTTAGTCCAAGAGCTTTCTGTCCCTCCTTTGGAAATGTATGTACGGTATACTGTCCTTGTCCAGAAAGGAAATAAAGACATCATCAAAGTAGTCCATGTGACATCAGTGGGTTAGTTAGAATGTGTTGAAGCATCGAAAATACATTTTGGTCCAAAAACAACAAAAACTACGATTTTACTCAGCATTGTATTGTCTTCCGGTTCTGTTGTCAATCCGCGTTCACGAGTCCACTGCTGACGTAAGACGCTGCTGACGTGTCTCTGGTGCGTCCGTGTATTCGGGTTCAAATAAATATGGCTGGGCAAAAAATGCAAGTCTTCCTCTGTGTGGAAATCCTTAGACATGTTTGTGAAGATTGTTTTGTTTACAGCGTGCGTCTCCCTCAGACTGTAAACGAAGCTCGGGCGCACTGATAACACGTCGTCAGCAGCGTCTTACGTCAGCAGCGGCACTGAACGCGGACTGACAACAGAACCGGAAGACGAGTAAAATCGTAGTTTTTGTTGTTTTTGGACCAAAATGTATTTTCGATGCTTCAAAACATTCTAACTAACCCACTGATGTCACATGGACTACTTTGATGATGTCTTTATTTCCTTTCTGGACAAGGACAGTATACCGTACATAGATTTTCAATGGAGGGACAGAAAGCTCTCGGACGAAATCTAAAATATCTTAAACTGTGTTCCGACGATGAACTGAGGTCTTACGGGCTTGGAACGACATGAGGGTGAGTCATTAATGACATAATTTTCATTTTTGGGTGAACTAACCCTTTAAAGCATATTAAAAACACCATATAGACATATAAACAACATTAAAAGCTTGATTTTCACCACAGGCGGACTTGACATCAGTGTGGTTTTAGTTTCAGAATGGTCAATGTAATAGTGTTTTCTCAGGTCAATTCATGATACCAGTAATTATTCAGTAAGATCAGGTAGAAATAGCAAGGAAATAGCAATGCATTTTTACTTTTTACAGTGTTCAAAGTGAATTACTAGTTCCAGGCCTCTAATTTGATCAGTGCTGGGACATCCCTTTTTTGTGATCCTCTTATATGTTCCCTGTGTCATGTCTGGACATTTGTTATATTTCCTGTTTCCTGTCCCGTGTGCCGATTTTGTAGTCCATTGTATGTTGATTAGTCCTGATTGTTTCCAGGTGTCATGTTGGCCCCTGTGTATGTATAGCCATTGTCAGTCATTAAATGTATGTACCGGTATACATGGTCCGTGTGCCTGTTCCCTGCGTTTCTCTCAATGCGCAACAAAAAACTCACGTGACTTTGCCTCAACAGAGGATGTGATTGGATAACTGGACTAACCAGCGAACCAATTTCTTTGCACGGCATCTGAAATGTTGGTTTGATCATTCTGAAATGCCTGAGCCAATGTCTGTCATCAGAATGATTTGGTACAATGACCTCCCAGAAGTGTCTCACGTGATTGCGTTCCCAAACACCAGGCATCCAAACGCAAGATAACATGATGACAGTGTTTATTGCGTTTCGTCTGCGCGTTCTGAGACGCAAGTCATTTATGATGTAGAAAAAAAAGAAAAAAAACAGTTTCTTCCCCGATTGCAGCAGCTTCCATTTTTATTACGATATTTTGCGCCAATTTCCCAGGAAGTGATGATTTTGTTCTCTTAAACACATGGGATGGAAATGCTATATTCACGATAAAGTATGTTTTCTGTGATATTCCAATTTAGTTAAAGTTAAATTCAAGTTAAATTCGCAACTTTGGATGGTGGAAACATATCTACGGATAGTCTATGCAGTTGTGGTGGGGCTTTTTCAGTGACTTTCTGCAGGTTACATTGTTTTGGCAGTAGGTGGTGACAAGTAACTGTCTTTATGAGTGAGTCATTGAATTAGTAACTCAACTGATTTGTTCAACACTGTGACTCATTAAGAAATAAAGACCAGTTCTGGCATAAAACTCAGTCTGATTTGACTCATTTGGTAGTGATCCCATCATTATCCTCTATTCTGCCAAGACCAAATACATTAACATTGCCATATT